TCTAGCCAAACTTAATATCATACATATTATTAACTACTTTAATACTATAGAAAATAAAGCTATTAAAAAAGCGTTTTAAACATCCATCTGCTTATATTGCACATGCCCCGGTCAACGCAGTCGACCGGGCACAACAAAACTTTCCTAGTTTTTTAAAAAAAATCCCCAACACAGAGTTAAGATCTAAATTAAAATATTGAAAGCCTTTACCGTTTTATAGCACTGAGCTTTGTTTAATCCTGCTGTACTTGATTTTTTCACGACCTCAACAATGTGGTCTAGACAATCTACTATTGTCTTTGTATAGAGCTTTTTAATCAGTCCGAAACTACCGTCACATTTGAATTTAGTATGTCCAGGTACCATGAAATTTAATTCAATACTTTCATAATATCCGCAAATTACTAAATATAAATAAAATCAAATAGTGGCATTGTTTTTATTCTGTCCACCTGCGTTATCGCAAGTAATCTTTAAATAATTTTCACCTTCATTCAATTCCTTAATCCCATCGAATACCATGCTCAGTGTGCCATTGCACCTTTGCCGATAATTTGTTTTCAGCGGGAATATAATTAATTTGTTTGCGCACTGCTCTATCTTGTATACCAAATAAATGTACTTTACGCGGACTGAGATAATAAATCTTACTTGCCTGCTGATCGGAATGGGGCACGTGAACATTTTGTGCTCAAACGTTACTGTAATGGGCAGTCGCGTCAACACTACAATAATCAGCTTTCTAAAATGCTCATCTACCAATTTTCTCTGTTGTTCTACTAATTTCGTATTTTTGTTGTAATAATTTCTCTCTAATTTAGCTTTTAACTAAATATTTTTGAATTTTTTCAGTAAATCCGTTCGTGGGCTCATGATTTAAATATAAGGCGTTAATTGATGCCATAACTTGCGAACGAATCATATTTTAACAATTTCAACGTGCTATTGTTTTCGAGGCCTGCAATAAATTACGATAGACCGATTTGTAACTCGTTTCAGCTGGTAAAAGTTAAGCAATTGCGTAATGCGATTGACATTTCTACCAGGACTTGGTAGTCCATGTATTTCAGCGTAATTCTGGAGAAAATTTTTCACCGCGGTAGCAACAGTTGTATCAATGGTGATTTTGGTGTTCCATCGTGGCATTCGTTTTATGTTACCATGAACGCATTGTATTATACCATTCGTCACTAGGTGACTTCTGACGTTTTCGACCAATTCCTAACATATTAAGATCCGTTTTCTGACAAAGAGGCGTATTGGGATCTCAATAATAAAAAGTTCTTTATTAGTATGCATTTTCATTTTAAGACGTCCATTACAAATATATCTTACTCGGGTCTAGAGAGAGCTTGAAACACTTTACGTAATTTGGTAAACTTTTCTTTTGGAATTCGTTTTCAACAACCACATTTGCAGCCTATCTCCACGAAACGCGTTGCTTTTTCGTACTCGGCGGAACCGTTATAATTATAAATTTTCATATACGGGTAATCCTATATATAATTTTTAATAGCAATTTGCAGGTGTGTGTAAATTTAAGGCTTAATTTTTGGCCACGGACTTCAAGCATATTTATTAAACTTGTAGACATTTGATAATCTCCGCTTACATTTGAAAAGATGAGTCATGCGTTGCATATAAAGCCTACTACTAATGGCACACCAAATAATAGAAGACTACATTGAATTTGACTTAATTCGAAATACCACTAGAGTATGAATAATACAGCAAAGAAATGAAGATAAATCTACCATTATACTATTTTATTGATTACGACGTGTTTGCACACTTCAGAAAGCTACTGTTAAACTGGATAATTCTCTTAAGATAACAAAATATATAATGAAATTAGAATGCAAAATAAAAGATTGTTACTGGTTTAAGCTTTCATCCACAACATTATGAGGAAGACAAATATTTTTGAGCATAAATTCATCATGCTCCATAAGGATGGGTTGTAGAGCTTTAGCAGTAGAATGCCGATAGATTTCAGGGTTGATTGATATAGGATAACAAACTTCCCCGGCTACACCAGCCCAGTCCCAATCAATAAAAACAACATTTGCCTTTGCATTTGCATCCTCTTTGTAGACCAAGATGTTCTCTTTTCGTAGATCACCATGCACATACCCAAGGTTATGTAACTTCCTCAACACATTCCACAGTTCATCACTAATATGTGCAGTAATAGAGCTATTACTATCTGACAGAGCATAAAACCCAGTCATATGAGCCATGACCACCATGAACCATCCGCCTGGTAGTTTTTCAAAACCATAGAGTGTGGGTGCAATATCAGCATCTGCACATGCTTGGTGGATATCTTTGGGGTATTGTTTAGTGAATTTGACCAACAGTCTTTGTGGCAGACCCTGTAGACATTCAAGCATCTCAACAATAAAAACTAATGGATGAAACTCCAAGTCATGGAGGTATTTGAAATAGATTTTTTGGCCTTGTATGTCACTGTACAACATCGTGAAATAATTTGGATATGGGAATTCTCGCTGGCTTGGGTGAATTTCTTCTGGTGGGCCATTGTAGTATTTCTGCAGGTTCTTAATAGCATTACCGAGGGCATTGAAGATATGAGCAAAGTCCTTCAACTGATCAAATGAGCAGGCTAAGGAAAGAGTGAAATGATATGGATCAATGATAATCTTGTTGCCAAGTATGGCTGTTGATATATTCAATTCCGGCCCATAGACTTGAACAAGAAAACAAGGGAGTCTGGTTGTCTTGGCAAAATCCTTGTTTTGG